TTCGGGGTTATGCGTTTCGATCGACCGTATCCAGGCTGAAACATATATCTCTATCGTTCACATAGCAGTGCGAATACATGCGGCGCATGGTTGGAATTGCGCAAATCAAACACAAATGCCGGCCACTTTTTTCTCTCTACCTACAGCCTATTGAACTAAGCAAACCAATTTTTACCTGATGCACAAGGTATCTGCCATAATCATTTGCTTGATCAGATGTGAAACAAATCCCGTTTGGCAAGTTCAACCCCTGTTTAAGGAGCATCTATTCTGTTTCGGATTGTCCTTCACCAAACCTGGTCTCGATGAACGAGTACCAGTCATGAGAACACAAAGTAGCAAACAATCTCGTTTTCAGTGCTACATCATCTGGCTAAATACAGCACAATTAATCATAGATTCAAACGGAGGGGAGAGGAGACACATCTATTAAGGAAATAAGAATTTAAAAAGAGATGATGGACTTATGATAATTGATGTTCGTGAGTGTGGATGTCTGTGTATGTGCACGGAAAGTGGAAGGCAGAGGGTAGTTGTGAATGGGTGTGTAGGTGAATGAGTGAGAGTTCATGAACGGAGGTTACATCACCAGATTGTTGGTGGATGGTCATGGTAGGACCAACGTTCTAACAAACTGTTTCTGGGCGCACAAGAAGGGGTGTGTGGATACGGATAATAATCGCCTCGGCTGTTGACAAAATTCTGAACTTGACCTCTTTTGATAGAGAGGACGGAAAGCCTCAGACATTGACTGGGTGATTAAACTCAGTCCACTTGATCATAATTACCGTCTCCCCGGACCTTGTCAACCCCTGATTTAACCAAACGGGGTGATGCTCCTTGATGCGGTCAGATAGACATCTGCCTCACCGTTCGACCCACACGAAGGGTTGAATTGATAAACAAAANCATCCGGGGTTAACCTATCCTTAGTGTGCCTAAAGAGAACCGGTTTGGATGTGAATACAATGCGGGGTTCAGCCACACAGTAGATGAATTTGATGGAAGTTTGAATTCGTCTACTCAATATTTTCACGATCGTTTCTCCTCTGAATGGGATGGAGAGATAGACACACTTCTTATTTGCTGTGTCACATAATGCCTTGAGTGAATATGATGTCATGCCTTTATGAATGAATGAATGACTCTGGATATCCATTCTCTAAACAAAACATTTCGTATTCTTCCCAGTTCAAACTTCACAGAATCCGAAGGACATACACACTCACAAACACCAATTAGCACAATTCCATCATCTCTCCTTAAACTCTGATCTTCTTCGCCGATATCTGCCTGCTTTCTCAGCCTATTTAATCTATTATAGATTGTGCTGTATTTAGCCAGTGGATTAGAACCGAAAACGAGCTTGTTTTTGCTATTTTGTGTTCTCATGACTATTCAAAAGGGAATAATTTCACAACTACCCCAATTGTATATTTGTCACACCGGATCATTACAGATTTCAACACGTGAACTATTCGGTTTTCTTTTTTTTATGTCTGTTGCTTTTGCTACTTAGTCAGATGATTGAGATCTATGTCGCACCCGTTCAACTTTACACAGATACACAAATGGGCAGGGATTTGCGAAATTATAACGGCAGTCCAGATAGCATCGGTTATAGGCCACCGGAATTGGCAATACGGAGACGAGGAAACAAGGCTACTGATAGAATAACTAGCTTATTGGAACAAGTAAAATCGAATACACAAAATGAAGAATAAAACATCATTCGTTCTGTCTACACCGGCTAATCAACGCTCAAATTGGAACTGAGATTTCCGATTGCGCCGATATCAAACTCAATGAACTTTATCACGTTGGTTGCCAAGAACGGCCCGCTGGTTATCGTAATCTTCGGTCACTACAGGCAAACTAAAAGTTGCCAATGGTCTGGGGATGCAGGTGTACGAGGCTATGTACACCGGTGTGATTCGGACAAGTCCCGTTCGGATTTCGTGGAACATGAAATATCAACCAAATTATGATTAAGGACCCGTCAGACGCTTCGGTGTGGTCGCAAGCGTGTGGCACGAGATGCGGCTGGTTACTGCCTTGTTGCACCTCATGAAATGCTTCTAACGTAAGTTGTCAAAGCACTGTGGGAAGACGATCGCAGTTCATTAGTGTATGAACCTGAACAGTGCCTGGCTAAAGCGGCACGTCCTGGAACCGGATCTAACATAGCCTCTGCCGATGAAACAATGCTTGTTGTCTTTAGGTGTACTCTAACCAAAATGAGAAGACCAAAAATCAACATTAAGGGTTTTAACGGGGTAGATGAACCACTGTTAGTTTACCTAGGGGAGCTAAATAGAAAATCTGGTTCTAAACTAACCAAGAAGAGGCATATGTACCACAATCATATCTTCCGGTGGTGGCCACCGGTTTAACTGCAGACCGAGATGTATTGGGTAACTTGGCCATTTACCCCAGTCCATTGTGTATCAGAGGACTAACTTGGCCATTGGTTGCGGTTTTCACCCACCGCTCCACTGTATTTCGGGTCAGATCTTGGTTAACCGAAAGCTCTGTCGATGTCACATGAGGGCAATGTTTTTGTACAACTACAAGTATGGTTTAAAGCACCAGCAGTGTTGATCGTCTTCGAGCTGCCTCTGGCGATGACATGCCTTCAAGAAGCATTGTGTTTAAGTGGTTTGCGGAATTCAAGCGTGGCAGACGGTCCCTTAATAATGAGAACAGTTGTGGTCGATACGAGTGGACCCTCACAGCGGACAACATTGGTGCTGTGGAGAAGATGGCGGAGGAGAGTGGGCACAGCTGGCGAAAGCCATTGGGATCTGATCGGGATAAATTTGCACCATCTTACATTGGAAGCTTAGCCTCATTAGGTTTGTGCACGCTGAGTGCCCCTCAGCTTGATGTGGAACAGAAAGCAGTTTGGGCGAATCGGTGCAGCACTATGCTTGCCAGGTTTGATGGTGCACGTTGAAATGCAATTTGGGACATCATCAGTGGTGGTCAGACCAGGGTGTATCGTTTCGACCCAGAGAGCGAGCGACAGTCGGGTTGGAGGACGCCGTTTGTTGGGGTGCCGCCTCAGGAAATCAGACGCGAGCGCAGTGTGGCGAAGAAGATGGTGGATGTGTTCATCACCAAAACCTTGCCATGAGGCTATCGTACCGCTCCTACAGCAATGTGCAGTCACCGAAGACTAGTACGCCACTCACTAGCTGCCGCAAATGTTGAAAGCTGTTGCCAGGGATCGTCCAAGGACTAGAGCACGAACGATGACAGCGCACCTGCGCACAGGTCTTATGTTGTCAGCTGTCTTCTGGGTAGAGAACATATCCAGGCGGTTGGTCATACACCCTAAAGTTTTGACCTATCTCTTTGTGACTATTTACTTTTCCCAAATGTCAAGCGTGCGATGTTTGAAATCTGATACGAGTCGCCAACAGCCGCACAGG